AAATGTGTTTTTAAGCTCCATCTTCACTAGATTAGCTAAAGGTTGTTGGGGAGTGTAAAAAGTTTCAATGTCTCTCTTTCAGGTCCATTTTTTTAACAGCTTTTTCTACAAGCAGCTGGTCGCCAAAGGTTATGAGGGTGTGAAGAGATGGACTAAAAAAGTGAGGAAGTTTACTTATTTGGACCTGCTTGCCGATGATGTCGAATTGACTCAGAAAGTTTTCTGTTGTAAATTTTTTTATTTTTATTTTTTTCAGGCTGACTTGTTCTCCAAATGGTTGCTGTTGATCCCAATTCATTTAGAAATCCACTGGTCTCTTATCACAGTAACCATGGCGACCAAAACCATCAGCTACTATGACAGCCAAGGCATCGTCTTCAGGCACACCACAGATGTGAGTATCTTTGCTCACGGTGGTGCCTTTAAGTTGTTCACATTCATAGAAAAGCTGAATTTGGCAGAAAGTCATCATGAGAGTCTGAGCAGGTTGGTTACCAACCCTAGAATTAGGCAGGCTTTTGTAGCATAGACAGTTCATTGGAAGGCTTGAGTCAGCTAACAGTGAGATAAACAGCTGAAGATCAGAATGGTCCCACTTCCTGTCAGGTTTCCTTAAACTTTATTCAAGGGAGGGGAGGGGGAGGGGGCACGACATGTCCTCCCTCACTTTTTCAATTCAGTAAATTTTTGTCCCTTGCACTTTTTACTGTCCAAAGCCAAGACCATGCTGTATTAAATAAACACTGTGTTGAGCACTAGGACCAAGCGGGAAACATCTGCTTGTGTTGAAGCCTGTTTCCCTTTAGAACCATCCACAAGCTCATCTAGTGGCTCTGCTGAAGTTTGCAAACGTATGATTGACCTGCGTACTTGACAGTTCAGCATTTCTGACATTGCATTAAAACTATGTCCATGACCTTGAATCAGCACTCTGTGTTGTACAGAACCACAGTACTTTGTTAAATATGTGAATATTAAAGAACAGTCATATATTTTATTCACTTTATGATCACACACTTTTATGTTAATGTGTTTAGAACAAGAATTCAGATTTCAGAAAAATAAAAATGGAAGAACCTGTTACTGCCTAAGAATTAATGAATCAATAACCACGAATGTTTTTCTTCACTGGTATGCTGTTGGGTTTATCAGTATCGTCAGAACACTTTGAAATATCAAGCTACTGTGTTGTCCCCACTTCAATCTCTGGAGGCATCAGCGGCGAGAAACGGTTTACTCTTGTGCTCTGCAGAGCGTCAATCCACACCGGGGGACAGTCTCCAATGCGGAGCGGCTTTTCTGCCGGACTATCATGGACAAGATCATAAAATCCCTTGAGACTTCAAAGCTCACTGTTTGTTTATGCAATCTGCCGTTAAATCAAAAGGAAGAACGAGATGATGTTTGATATCACTGTTTGATGTTAAATATAACGTTGTGTCTCTCCACTGCAAAACACGCCGCTTCACTTCTCGAAAGATGCTGCGTAAATAAGCCTTCAGGTCACATGTATTGACATAATCTACATAGATAAGAAATTGCATCTCTGCAATGGGCTTTTATTTTGAAAATGACCAGACGTTTTACACTGATACCGGGTGTGACTTCCTGTCTAGCCCTAGGCAGCCCAATCCTTCCTTTAGCAGCGCAACAAGCCACTTCCTGGATCAGCTGAAATGTTCCATGCTGCAGCGGTTTGGATTAACTGATAAAGCAGAGATAATTTAAAGCAGAGATAGTTTGCTGCTCATCCATTCCGCTGTTGCATCCAGTGTGGATTACGGGTTAGGGCCTCATCACCCATCCATATTCCTCACCCTCTTAGGTATGTCTTGGGACATATGTGTAAATTTCTGGGTTTGTTTTATCACTTGACTGTACAACCTGTCTTTAGAATGTGGATATATAGAACTTTTACACTGTCAGTGTTTCTACATGACTGTTCTTAATGTATCTGTTTGTGTGTGTGTGTGTGTGTGTGTGTGTCCATCCATCCCCTTTCAGAACATTATGAAGTACCTTCAGTCTGAAGCCAGAGAGAAAAAGCAGGCAGCTTTCCAGAAAGGCTGGAAGATTACCATCATCAAGGTGACCCCAACCCCTGACATGTTCAGATGTTCCATTTTGTTGCTTAGACTTACTGTAATGATCCTCCTGGATTTAGCTGAATTTTTATTATTTGATCATTAATTCTGCAAAAGCAAATCTGCAAAACAAGCTAGCTTTTAAGCCTGGACCACACTGCGTTTTTCAACCGTCCTAGACAAATCTCCCTTTGGGAATAGAATCATGACAAAAAACGGTGACTGTGAGGGTGATTTGCAAGTCTGTGGCCGTCCAGTGTGACCAGCTCTGCGACAGCTTATCGAGCACCTTCATGGTCAAAGTCAGCCTCCAACAGTCTTCAAGCACTTCTTGAATACCTATGACACCCCTATGTAATCGACCAATGAAAGGAAAGGGATAGAAGGAGTGGATCCCAGAGGAAGGCAGAGTTGGTAGAAAGAGCAGAATAAGGAGAGGGTGATGGACGTCACACCAAAGCCAGCCTGAACAGGTGAGTTTTCAGCTGCTTTTTAAAGGAGACCACTGAGTCCACTGATCTCAGGCTCAGGGGGAGAGAGTGCCAGAGTCTGGGGGCCACAGCAGCAAATTATCTGTCACCTTTGGTCTTTAGCCTGGTGCTGCACAACCTATAGGCTTTGGTCACTGGACCTCAGGGACCTGCTGGGGGTGTGGGGACTGAGAAGATCACCAATGTAAGATGGTGCTTGTCCATGTAAGGCCCTATAGACCAGAACCAGGATCTTGAAATGAACCCTGAAGTTAACTGGCAGCCAGTGAAGCTGGAGGAGAAGCGGGGTGATGTGGGTGTGTTTGGAGGACTTGGTCAGAAGCCGAGCACAGGCGTTCTGAAACACCTGTAGACGGTTCAGGGAGGTTCTGCTCAGACACGTGAAAAGAGAGTTACAGTAGTCTAAGCGTGAGGAGATGAAGGTGTGGATAACTGTCTCAAGTTCAGAGCGGGACAGAATGGGACTCCGCTTAGCAATGTTCCCGATGGAAGAAGGAAGAGCTAACAAGAGAACTGACATGAGAATCCAGGGTGAGAGCTGGGTCAAAGGTCACACCAAGATTCCTGACAGAGGGTTTGGCGTGAGATGCAAGCTGACCAAGAGAGTCTCTGACTTTGGGAACCAGCTTGTCTGGGGCACAGATGAGGATCTCAGTCTTATCTCCATTCAGCTGTAGAACGCTCCCAGCCATCCAGGTTTTAACAGAGTCTAAGCAGGTGTGTAACAGCTGCAGCTTAGACATCTCATGGGGCTTAAAGGCGATGTCATCAACATAAAGATGGTAGGAGATTCCTTTAGCCCTCCCACTGTCTTTATGGGTGACCCCGCCATGTGGACCCAAGGGATAAACCATCAACCCTGCTCAATGGTCAACTTTCCTCACGGGGTCACACCCATTAGGACAGTGGGAGGGTTATAAGAGGAGGAAGCAGATAAAGGAGGAAAAGTATAGGCCCCAGCGCAGAACCTTGCAGGACACCATGGGTGAGGGAGGTGGCGGAGGACTGAAACTTGGAGATGGCAAGAGACGGAACGCTCAGACAGATAAGAGGAGATCGTGACGTATGCTTCTCAGTAGCCTGGCCTGCCAGACTCGTCCTCTGTTTAATTCTGCACAGAGAGCTAGTCTGGTTACTCACAGGCAGAGAGCCACATGGGGGGTGGGACTAGCCAGCTCAAAATTAACCAATCAGAAAAAAGGCAGCGCGACACTGTACCGCGCGACACTGTAGTTTTTCAACTGGAGTCAAAAATGGCGTCTGGCGACAGCACAGACATCCTTTTTTAGAAGAAAGGCTTTTAGCGCTTCTACTTGTTGTGGTTTCAAAGACGTGTTCAAGTCATTTAGAACAGAGGAAAGAGCCGCAGCGAACGCCGCTTTAGTCGCCATGTTTATGAGAAGCTCAGCCTTCCAGTGTGTGTGTGAGGTATGCTGTTCTTCGCTGATTGGCTCATTTAGAATTCTCAGGGGGTGGGATTATTTAATTAGAAGAGTTCCCAGACCCATTGCTTCCCATAAGGAAGCATGGGGCTGGCTGGTCAGGCTAGCTTTTCAGGGGGTGTCTCGCTGAAATCTCAGACCGTACAGTGTGCCACCTGGCTAGAGTTTTCACAGTCCATCATGAGCAGTCCTGTCTGACAGCTGAAAACGCACAATGTGGTCCGGGCTTTAAGCACAATCATCCCTGGGCCGCATCGGCCTGATATGGGAACCCACATTTCCAGAGGATAAGAGAGTGTGCGGAACACCAGTGGCCATTTTCCATCATGTTGTCCATGACTTCAAATGGTGTTTTTCTTTTGTGGACTCTGGTATTTTGTGCTAAAGTTGAAGTGGTAGCAGCCGGCTGTTTCTCCTCTGATATTATTGAGCAGAGAACTTCTCACACCAGTGGTGTTCTGTTGCTAAATGACAAGTGTGTAATGAATGGAGGATGGCTGAATGGTTGCTTTCAGACCAAGCTTTGTTCTTGGTGGAGGACTTTACACAAATGCAAGAAAACCACTTTATTCGTTTTTATATTTCTCATTTTAATCTCCACAATATATTTACAGCTAGGCTATGTTAGAGCATGAAAAAGAGTCTTTTTGCAGATTTGCCATCGCGGCTTTAATGCTGAAGCGTCTTTTTTTCTTCACATCTCAAAGTAAAAGAAACAAAGATCATGTAAGCAGACAGAAGTTGTTGCTGCTTTTTTTTACTCCAACTTGGTGTCTTTTCAGGGCATTCCACAGCAGAAGAACGACAGCGATTGTGGAGTTTTTGTCCTTGAGGTTAGACGTCATTACTTTTTACTGCATGACTTGTTTCCTTTCAGAAAAAGAAACAAAATCTTGTGGGTGATTGTACGTGTCCATCTCTTTCTCCACACCAGTACTGCCGCTGCCTGTCATTGAAGCAGCCTCTGCTGTTCAGCCAGGATGACATGCCTCGCATTCGAAAGCGAATCTACAAGGAGCTCTGTGACTGTCATCTAAACAACTGAACAGCCGTCCCCTTGTGCTCGTCTGGTTCCGTGAGATGGTCTGTCCAAGTTATTCCCACGTCGTCTTTGACTGACAGTCGGTTATATGAGCTAACGCAGCTTGGCCATCTGTATTTCAGGGAGTGCTAACTGCCGTCTGCCTTTCTGACTGACAGCAGCGCGGCCGTCACTAGAGACTTGGGAGTTCAGATGGTATTCTGTAGCTTAGCTGAATATTTCTTGCAAAGAACTGCTGAAGTGGCCCCCTACTGACCCTTAAAAATGTTGGACTCTCACATTATTTGCGGTCCGCTGTAAAGACTTAGCACCCACACACTTCAGGTCTGTTTTCTGCATTTACCACAATGAGAGGATTTTTAAAAGATCGACTGAACAACGGAGCTCTGACTGACTGAAGAAACTGTTACACCATCATGCATCACTTGGATGGACCTTTTATCCCCAACAGTGGCCTTACCGCTTCCAAGATGGCCATTTTAACCAGAACTTAGCAGTTTTTATTTAGTGCTGGACTTTTAAGTGAAGCTGTAGTACACGTAACAGTTATTAAATGCATGTTTCCATAACATGCTTCAAAAACGTATATTTTCCTTCGAACAGTTGGAACAGATGTTCGCCTAAGACTTGAAGAGTCCTGATTAAGTTAATTCTTGCACGGTTACAGGCCTATCCAGTGAAGTTCAGACCACAAGCTGGTTGTTCTTATTTAGTTTTAGTTTTCTATTTGTTGCACACGCTAAAGGCTTCAACGCTGGGATCGTATTTCTGTTTCCAGCTCTGAAGTTCCATTTGAATCCGATTTATTTTCTGTCACCACATCATCACAGTAGGTTCTGAACAAAGGCTTGTCATTTTTGTTCCCTCATAACTCCCATCTGATGTCTTTTCAGGGTCACCTTGTAAGTAAAGCATGTTGCAAAAGGAAATATCCCACATGAGTCTATTTTTTTATCATGCCGGTTAGTAAATTTCACCTTAAACTTTACATCTGGCTGCTGATTCAAGGACCATCGTGTTTTACTCGTTCCAAGATGTTCCTCTGGCTTTATAGAAATGTGTGGCCTGTAAGCAGACATGGATTTCAGCTTTTTTTTATTTTTTTATTAAAAGCATCTGTCCAACCTGATTGATGTTATATTTACTTGTGTATTTACAGACTGTATTGTACCTTTACTAGCCAACCGTGTGTGCTTGTTTCGGCTAAAAACCGAACAGAGTTTTCAACTGTTTTTATAGTCATTAAAATATTAAAGCAATGTTTTAGTCAATTCTAAGTGATGTTCTGTCAGCTCTGGGCCATACATGCAGATGATGTCACTAAAAGTGAGCCAGTGACTGTACAGTACATAAACGAGTCTCTAGAAATGGGAAGATTTCTCTGACTAAAGCAATACTCCTGGCTAGCCAGCTGACGTAACATTAGTGGCTGATTTCCTGATTTTTTTTTTTTACTTGGAAAAGCTGAGTTTGCTTTAAAACATCCTGCTGCATTAGAAAGTTATAACTGTTTTTAAACTCATTGAATTGTGTATGAGACTGTCTATTCCATCAGTGCTAATCTGCAGGTGCTGGTCATAAAATTAGGAAATCTGACATAGTGGTTTTATTTTAGTAATTCCATTGTATATTCATCCATTACAGACTGATATATTTCAGCTTCGCTGCTTATGACTTTGAACATCAGTTGAGTCAGTCTCATGCAGACTGACCAATGAAGAGAGGGCCTCAAGTTAAGACCCTCTCCTCATTGGTCAGTCCACACGAGGTGGGTCAAAGGTTAACCTGAGCGGGTTACGTGATGTCAGGCATTCAAGTATTGAGTATATTTACTGCATATTACAGTAAAATATTCTGTATGTGACCATATTATGGTGATCCTTGGGTCGTGATGATGGGGCCCTCGAATATTGTTGCCCAGGGTACAACAAAGTGTTAATCTGGTCCTGCTGGCAGAGTCCAACCTTCACCGGGAACAGGTCCGACTTACTATCGGCTGTGCGGACCAAACTCACGCTCCTGTGGTAAAGGGACTGAATGGCCGTTAACAGAAAGCCACTCACCTGATGATCCTCGCCGCTTTCCTCAGGCACCGCTTCCTGTAGATGTCCTGGAGGGAGCGAAGCTCACCTCCAATAATCCTTTCAGCACACCGCACACCCAAGTGAGCCTAAACCTAAAAAAGCACCTATAGAATATGTGTGCATCTACTATTTTTTTAGAGATTTTATTTTCTTGACTTCCTAAGTTAAAAAAAATTAATTTTCTTCTTAAACATATCCCACCTCTTCTTCAGTCCCTTCGGGTATTTTCCAGATGTGACTGACGCTTTAGTCTCGCTTACCTGTGAGGACTCTGGTTCAGTCTCTCTGCCAGAAACCAGAGAACTCCGAGCTCTGGCTCCTGTGATCGAGGTTCCACTTTTATTTACTCCTGAACTCTTTCCTGTAGGAACTGATGATTTTTCTTTAACCTTACATCCATTATTTTTCCTCTGATGATGCGGGGTTTGCTCGTACGAGATCCCGGAGGACGTGCTTGGAAGAGCTTCATTCACACTTGTCTTCTCATATGAAGATCTTCCGTCTTCATCCTCACCTGAACTCACGTTTTCAACGCTGCTTTCTTCTCTTCTCTTAGATGTTTTACATTTGTTCATACAATCCCACAACCTTTTAACTGCATTTGCATCTAATTCTAACCCATTGGCTAATCCTTCTTCAATAACTGACCAATTTATGTCCGCATCAACCTCATCACCTGAGTTTAAAGATCTTCCATCTTTCTCACTCAGTTCCTTATCTTGTGAAGCTAAAGGTGCTTCAGATCCATCCTCCAAGATTCCCAGTGACTCATCGTGAGGAGAGGACGAGCTAGCAGAAGCCACGTTGTCACAGACCAGATCCTCTAGACCAAGCTCCAACAAAAGTTTATCAAATTCATTTAGCCTCTTTACCTCAGCCTGCCCACTTGCAAGTCCGTCTTTCTCACTCAGTTCCTCATCTGAATTTAAAGGTCTTCCGTCTTCATCCTCACCTGAACTTACGTTTTCAACGATGCTTTCTTCTCTTCTCTGAGATGTTTTACATTTTCCTGCAACATCCCACAACACTTGAACTTCATTTGTATCTAATCCAAACCCATTGGCCACTTCTTCTATAATATCTGACCAATTTATGTCTACATCAACCTCATCCAGTTCCTTTCCTGAGCTGGACGGCGAGCTAGCAGAAGCCACGTTGTCACAGACCAGATCTTCTAGACCAAGCTCCAACAAAAGTTTATCAAATTCATTTAGCCTCTTTACCTCAGCCTGCCCACTTGCAAGTCCGTCTTTCTCACTCAGTTCCTCATCTGAGTCTGAAGATCTTCCGTCTTCCTCAATCAGTTCCTCATCTGAGTCTGAAGATCTTCCATCTTTCTCACTCAGTTCCTCATCTGAGTCTGAAGATCTTCCGTCTTCCTCAATCAGTTCCTCATCTGAGTTTGAAGATCTTCCATCTTCATCCTCACCTGAACTTACATTTTCAACGATGCTTTCTTCTCTTATCTGAGATGTTTTACATTTCTTTACAAAATCCCAAAACTTTTGAACTTCATTTGAAGCTAATTCTAACCCTTTGGCTAATCCTTCTTCAATATCTGACCATGTTATGTCCACATCAACCTCATCACCTGAGCTTAAAGATCTTCCATCGTCATTCTCACTCAGTTCCTCATCTGAATTTAAAGGTCTTCCGTCTTCATCCTCACCTGAACTTACGTTTTCAACGATGCTTTCTTCTCTTCTCTGAGATGTTTTACATTTTCCTGCAACATCCCACAACACTTGAACTTCATTTGTATCTAATCCAAACCCATTGGCTACTTCTTCTATAATATCTGACCAATTTATGTCTACATCAACCTCATCCAGTTCCTTTCCTGAGCTGGACGGCGAGCTAGCAGGAGCCACGTTGTCACAGACCAGATCCTCTAGACCAAGCTCCAACAAAAGTTTATCAAATTCATTTAGCCTCTTTACCTCAGCCTGCCCACTTGCAAGTCCGTCTTTCTCACTCAGTTCCTCATCTGAGTCTGAAGATCTTCCATCTTTCTCACTCAGTTCCTCATCTGAGTCTGAAGATCTTCCATCTTCCTCAATCAGTTCCTCATCTGAGTCTGAAGATTTTCCATCTATCTCACTCAGTTCCTCATCTGAGTCTGAAGATCTTCCGTCTTCCTCAATCAGTTCCTCATCTGAGTCTGAAGATCTTCCGTCTTCCTCAATCAGTTCCTCATCTGAGTCTGAAGATCTTCCATCTTCCTCAATCAGTTCCTCATCTGAGTCTGAAGATCTTCCATCTTCCTCAATCAGTTCCTCATCTGAGTCTAAAGATCTTTCATCTTTCTCACTCAGTTCCTCATCTGAGTTTGAAGATCTTCCATCTTCATCCTCACCTGAACTTACATTTTCAACGATGCTTTCTTCTCTTATCTGAGATGTTTTACATTTCTTTACAAAATCCCACAACTTTTGAACTTCATTTGAAGCTAATTCTAACCCTTCTGCTAATCCTTCTTCAATATCTGACCATGTTATGTCCACATCAACCTCATCACCTGAGCTTAAAGATCTTCCATCGTCATTCTCACTCAGTTCCTTATCTTGTGAAGCTAAAGGTGCTTCAGATCCATCCTCCAAGATTCCCAGTGACTCATCGTGAGGAGAGGACGAGCTAGCAGGATTGTCACAGACCAGATCTTCTAGACCAAGCTCCAACAAAAGTTTGGCTTCCATTTCATCTAGTCTCTTTAGCTCAGCCTCCTCATTTGTAAGGCCACTTGTGTCTTCAGGTGATAAATCCACATCGACCTCAAAAACGGAGCTAATTGTCTCACCTGCATCAGAATCATCAGGCTTGTGATTAAAGCTGTCCTCCGTAACCAAAGATGTTTCCTCTTCATCATCATTTAAACATCCTGTGTTTCATCCTCACCATCAGAGTGACAAGAGCTGGGCGACCAGCTAGGAAAAGAATTACCTTCATCTGGTTTCTGCTCTGAAACGAACGTTTCAGCCGCAGGGCTCACAGACGTTGAGTATTCAGCGTGACTTTCGTCCTCAGGCAATGAATCTTCGTCTTCTTGTTCGGAGCAACTAGTTTCATCTTCATCATAACGTTCAAAGCTGACGGAGAGCAAATCATAGTTTTTCTCTGAATCTGAATCTGTGTCGCCCTCACTCAGTTCTTCTTCTGAAAAAACGGATGTTTCATCATCTATGTCCTCCAATTCTTCATCAGTAGGAGACATTTCCTCATTTTCTTCTAAAGAAAGTGATTTTTTGTCTCTTTCCTCACAGTTCTCCTCTATAATTGTGGAAAGACCAATCTGATTGTCATCATGATTCCCCCAAATAATCTTAGTCTGCGACAGACCAACGTCCTGCCCCCATTCGGTATCAGGATTAGAACCGCTGAGAGGAGCTCCATTTTCACAATTTAGCTCCCTCACATCTTTTTCTAACCCGAGTTTGCAACCCATTCCTTCGTCCATATAAGGCAAGTCGTTGTCATCGTAAGGCAACAAGTCAGACGTCGAGTATTCAGCGTGACTTTCGTCCTCAGGCAATGAATCTTCGTCTTCTTGTTCGGAGCAACTAGTTTCATCTTCATCATAACGTTCAAAGCTGTCGGAGAGCAAATTATAGTTTTTCTCTGAATCTGAATCTGTGTCGCCCTCACTCAGTTCTTCTTCTGAAAAAACGGATGTTTCATCATCTATGTCCTCCAATTCTTCATCAGTAGGAGACATTTCCTCATTTTCTTCTAAAGAAAGTGATTTTTTGTCTCTTTCCTCACAGTTCTCCTCTATAATTGTGGAAAGACCAATCTGATTGTCATCATGATTCCCCCAAATAATCTTAGTCTGAGACAGACCAACGTCCTGCCCCCATTCGGTATCAGGATTAGAACCGCTGAGAGGAGCTCCATTTTCACAATTTAGCTCCCTCACATCTTTTTCTAACCCGAGTTTGCAACCCATTCCTTCGTCCATATAAGGCAAGTCGTTGTCATCGTAAGGCAACAAGTCAGACGTCGAGTATTCAGCGTGACTTTCGTCCTCAGGCAATGAATCTTCGTCTTC